TTGGAAGATCAGTGAAAGGCAGAACTTTTTTTTTCTGGTAGTGCTGTGGCACATACACTCTGCCAGAACTGTTTTGCTTATTTACGTTAATTTGCATTGATTACATTTCCACACATTACATGTGAGGGTACATTTAAAAAAATCATTTTATTGGGGGCTCTTATAGCTCTTACCACAATCCATACATCCATCCATTGTGTCAAGCGCATTTGTACATATGTTGCCATCATCATTTTCAATATATTGTCTTTCTAAAAATTGAGGGCACATTTTTTTTACATGGGTATGTTATTTGCAAAAAATACAGCATATATGAAATAAAAGAGAAAGCTGAATTGTCTACTAACAATGTACTTATGAATTCTTATGGAAGAATTGAAAAGATTGCATTTTAGGGATTTCAGGCTTGCAAAGGTAGGCCAGCGTAGACCAACATTGCGTGTAGAAACACAAGACTGTTGTTGATTGACTCTCAAACATGTTTATGGAATGAATTTCATCCCTGATGAGCTCACTCTAAATGCAGAAGACTAAAGATGGCATCTAGTGTTTATGGACCGAAGATCATTGATTCTACAGAACACCAAGCAGGATAGTCCTAAAAATTAAAAGAAGCCTGTGATTATTTGGCGGTAAACAAAATTAAATAGATTTCTCTACTTTCAGACTTTTCAGAGGTTGATATGTTCATGTGTGTTGTGAATCTCCAAGAAGGGTTTGTAATATGTAGAATGGCCTGTATTTGACTCTGAAACTTTTCTATTCCCATGGATGTCCTTGGAGTGGGGGAAAGGCAAGCTTTCATCCTTGACTTACATAGGGATTTATTTTAATTTTATTTATGATTATTTAAAAAGTTTTATTGGCACTTCACATGTCATATAATTAAATAATTAAGTCATATCAAGAGCTGTACAGTCATCATCAGTCAATTCTAGGACAGTTTCTTTCTTGAATTCATTGTTATTCATGTAATTTTAATATTTCCACATGTATAATTCAGTGCCATTGATGATTTATACACTTCGTGTTGTACAACCATTATTGATATCCTTTTCCAAATTCTTCTACCACCATTAATATAAACTCAATGCCCTCTTAAGCAAGAACTCTTCCTCATTCATGGTAACTCATAGGTCAAGTGTAGTTCCTTTTATAGTGTGTTTTTTTTTTAATATAATAGTCACACATCATAATTTCCGTAGTTAAATCACTTTTTAAAAGAGTTGTATATACATCATCTCTCCTCACCTTTTCTCCCTGCCACCCCAAACCATTGCATCAATTACTGTCTTTATGCATCCACTCCTTCTGTGCTTCACAAACTGGGAAATTGAACAGAAGCAATAAAAAAACAAAACAGCAAAAAGAAAACAGTAATAATATAAAGATAAAAGTACAAATAAAGAGTAAGAAAGAAAAGGCTACCATCAATATTTAAAAAGCCATAGAAGAAATTTCTACTGTGAAACAAGAAATATTTGATCCTAGAGCAAATTCTGTTTGGGTCAAGAGGCAGGTCAACTGACCAAGTATATTGTACCATGGTTCAGTCACCAAAATTAAGCTTCCATTAATCTTTGTGTGATAGTAAAACTTTTCTAGTGCCTCACCTGTGGCTAGAAGGGGATCTTCCAGAGGCTTAATCTGGATTTGGGTCTCCCACTGCCCTCCATAGCCTTCTACGAATAAGAGTGTTCACAATGTAAGTTCTGGAACATTTCCCTTCATATTCGGGTTTGTCTTCAGCTGCTTTGGAGGTGTTCTTCTTCACTGTAAACTTAGTGGACAACTCACTCACTTGGCTGCCTGTTTGAAAAAACCCTTTAAGACCCAAGACGCTATTCCAGCGCTTCTCAACCTTCCTTCTGCGGCGACATACAGTCCTCATGTGGTGGTGACCCCAACCAGAACATTATTTTGGTTGCTACTTCATAACTGTAACGTTGCTACTGTTATGAATCGGGTGACCCCTATGAAAGTGTCGTTTGGCCCCCAAAGGGGTCGTGACCCACAGGTTGAGAACTGCTGCACTATTCTAATTGATTGGCGGAACACCATCTGCTTTCTTCACCACACTTTGCTGTAACACCCTACTCTTCAGTGATCTCTTCATGAAGCTAGCTATGGAGCAGGGCCAGGTTTTAAAAACTAACCTTTTGAATTGGGGCTAGAATTAAATGGGAACTCAGAATTTATCTTGTTTTCCTTAAGTTATGAACTCTGGTTTACTTTGGCGGTCTTATTATGACAAGAACAACAAAACAGGCAGAAAAACAAAAACCAAACAACAGAAGAAAAGTCTTATCAACCCCTTTGGGTATAAGACAATTGCATTGATAACATAAATAATGTATCCAGTGACAGAATTTAAGATAGCATTGATAGAAGGAATTTATGCAAGTATAGTCCCAACTTCGAGCTGCACTCCCTGAGTGGTGGCTCCCTACAGATAAATTTCTTAATTGAGCTCTGTTTACACAGGATAGGAGTTAGTACTAGGGGGAAATTTCCTGTATTCTCACAAATGTAAACCCTTGCCTCTGAGGTTACGGCCTGCCATATTAATACAAGGAGAGCTTGGAGGTGCTAAATAGATGGTGGTCTGGGCCCTTTCATTGAGCACACACTAAGCCATGAGCCCCACTCAGTCCAATGAACGCGCTTTCCACCATCTGAAGATGACCTTCCTTTGCTTCCTCTCCCATCAAAGTGTTTGCTTAGTCAGGCTTCCACGTTGAATCCTTTTGATGTGGCCTATGTTGCCTGGAAGGCCTGTGTCTGAGGTCATAGTGCTTAGGCCATGATGTGGTTCACTGTGGGTTGGGTAGTAAAATATTCATAGCGTCTACCCAAGAACATAAAATTGGGTTTATTTTATCCTTAGTTTCCCTACAATTACTTAGCATCCCTTCCTGATGTAAAGTCCCTCCCCATTTTACCCACCATGCCCATCAACAGAAATATCAGTGCTGCTTCTGAAATGTACAAGGGGGTACCCCCCAAAAGCCAGAATTATGTTGGGGTGAGCAGAGCTTTTGTAGTAGGCACTTGTCCCACTGGGCAAGCATAGAGCAACTGGCTTACTTTTAGTGTACCCAATGGTGTCACCTGGTTCTTTCTGGTCACAGTGAATTTTTTCATAATAGCAGTTTCGCTTGAAACTCACTTTTTTGTGATGGTTGATTTAAGAGAACAGTGTGTGGCTGTGAAATTTTGTTTCCTGCTCTGGAAAAATGCCACAGAAACTGTTGTTATGTTGAACACAATTTACAAGGATAAGCGCTCTGGGGGAAAACTCAAGTGTATGAATGGTTTTCTCCTTTCAAAAAAGGTGAAATGTCGATTAATGACAAACCTCATGCTGGATGCCCATCAACTTCCTAAACAGACAAAAATAACTACTCATAGTGAATTTGGAGTTTATCCCACCAGGTCAGACTGTTAATCAAGCTTTCTATTTAGAGATTCTGATAAGATTGCATAACAGTGTGTGACAAAAAAGGCCTGCTTTGTGACAGACAAGGGACTGGTTTTGTCACCAGGACAATGCACCTGCTCATGCAGCCATCTCAGTGTGCCAGTTTTTGGCAAAACCCAACATGCCTCTCCTGCCCCACACACCTTACTCACCTGACTTTGCTCCATGCAACTTCTTTTTGTTACCATGAATGCAGAGGGACATGAAAGGACAGAGGTTTGATGACATAGAAGAGGTGAAGGAAAAAATGAGGGCAGTGCTGTTAGCCATCCAAACAGATGAGTTTGAAAACTGTTTCCAAGAATGGAATCGCAGGTTTGACAAACGTATTAAGTGTAATGCAGAGTCCTTTGAAGGTGACAAGGTTATTTTGTTAAAATTTAAAAAAATATGTAGCATTGGAAGGAGAGGGTGCGAAATTGGCTTTTTTTGGGTACCCCCTCATAGATGCTTCCCTTCCCTGGTGTTAACTTAATTTTCTAAAAAGATTTCTTCTGCCATCCCTGTGGCAGCCCTATAGGTTTGTCACAGCCTTGTCGTAGTGTTGTATAGCATCAAGTGGAAGGTCTGTACCCTCTTCCCCTTGCTTGAAGGAGTGACCTCAAGCAGTGCGAGGTCTCCTCTTTCAAGATGATTCATAGGAAGTGCACCTTAGGTGGGTGACGTATGGTTCGTGGGGAGTAGGCAGACTTTCTACCCTTTTGTTTAGGAATTAGTCTCTAAGATTTGTTTAATTGGAATTTCTTCTTATAGTACTGGACTCATACAATATTTTCCCATTTGTGATTGACTACCTTCAGCATAATGGTTTCCAGTACGCTCCATGTTATGCGGTGCTTCATGCTCTTATCACTTTCCCTTAGGAATGCCTAGTATTAGATGATAGTTTCTTTATTACATAGGAATTTATGTCTGGTCCCTACCTGTCTTTAGCCTGACTGTTGACTATTTTTTCCCTCACTTTCTTCTCCTCCCTATCCCTAATACCATGTATCTGACTGTCCTAATGTCACTTCATCTGCGGGGAAGGTCCTCATTTCTGCCTAATAGGTTTCTCCTTCAAGAATAGTTGAAACATGCCCTCCTCGATAAACATTGACACCTCTGGGTGTATTTGCACACGCTTCCTGTCAGTTTCTTGTGTTTCCTTCTCACAGCATTACAGAGGCCCTGCAAGTGAGTATTTGTGCATTGTAGGAAAGGGCAAATATAATTTAAAGCAGGCTTTTACTCAGCTTCTGTAGACTCTATCCTATTAATATGATATGAAAGAATTATTTTGGTAGTAAATATACCTAATTTTAAGAATTACAGAGCTGCTATTTTAATTGTTTTTATTCGTTTTCTTTGATAAAAGAGATGAGAGTCCTAACTCCTAAAGAAACAGTGGAATGCTCCTGGAGCTGTGAGCTGTGATTATAGCTCTGCACTGTTGGTGTGCCTCCTCTGTGCCTTTCTCATTGTTGTGTATGTGTGTGTACATGGGCACCGAAAGTCATTTTTGTGTCTCTTTCCAAAGGCACGCTATATATCAACAGAACAAAGAGAACTTCCAGGATGAGTGTGCTAAGCTTCTGGTTGGAAATATCATTATAACTCGATACAACAACCGGACCTACCGGATTGATGATGTGGATTGGAATAAGACTCCAAGAGATAGCTTCACAATGTCTGACGGGAAGGACATCACATTCTTGGAATATTACAGGTACAAGTGATGGGGTTTGAGCCTACAGTTTCTACTACTACTCTCTAGCAGAACATAATGTTCCTTAATAGCATATGATTTGACACTTTGAAAATAATTGAATTGGTAATGTGCCTGAGTTAGAATGAGCTCATTTGTGGGGTTTGTCCTGTTAAGGTACTCTTACAGATTCATTTCTTTTAGTAGTTGTGGAGGTTACTGTGCAAATTAATCACAGATATTTGAATTGTGTTTATTTTTCTGGTTTGCTTAGAAGTCTGGATTCACAGATTAAATTCAAGTCTTAATCATTTTATCATTCAAGTTGCCTAAACCCTTTATATAGTTGGATACAGCATTTAATAAGCTCTCCTATATGGTTCATCTTACTTCTCCTGTGTTAAATTTGCAATGTAACACAAACCTACTTTTTACCCAGTTACAAATAGATTGTGATCTGTTTCGGATGGATCCGTCCCAAAGGGTGTTGTGCAAATTGTGTACCCCAGTCCTGGTTAAAGCACATGAGACCTGTTTACAGTGAAATATCCCCTTACAGAAGAGTCGAGCCAGCCAGGGTGCAGTATAGCACTGATGAAGCACAACATTCCTCTAGTTCTTTAATGCCACCCCCCCACGCACACACGCACTATCATGTCCCCAGTTCTACCTTTAAAGTCCTGCTAGATGAGCGCATATACACTGGTACAAATAGAAGCTCTCGCTGTATGGAATCCAAGAGAGATAGAAACCTATCAGGAACAGTGATGAGAGTATCAGTACCGTGAGCATAGGGGAAGGTGCGGGAGAAAGGGGGAACTAACTACAGTGATCGACATTTAATTCCCACCCCCTCCCCCAGGGTGATGAACAATAGAAACAAGAGTGAAGGGAGACAGCAGATGGTGTAAGAAAAAAAATTTATAATTTATCATGGGTTCAGGAGGGTGGGAGGGAGAGAAAAAATAGGCGCTGATACCAAGGAGTAAGAATTTCCTGCTCATGAAGATTTTAAACTTAGATCTCTTAGGGAAGTTATAAGACAATCATTTAAAATGTGGGTCAGATAGAAAATGTTTTGAAAAGGATGATGGCAACATACGCACAAATGTTCTTGACACAGTGGATGTGTAGATTGCTGTATGAGATATAAGAGCCCCAATAAAACGATTCAAAAACAAAACACAAGACTATCGTGCTCTAAGGATGGTGATGATGCTTCTGAAAGTTTTTCTTGCCTCCACCCTGCTCTAGCAAAAACTATGGGATCACCGTCAAAGAAGACGACCAGCCCCTGCTGATCCACAGACCCAGTGAGAGACAGAATAACCAAGGCTCGGTAAGGAGGGCTGGCGGGTCAGGGTTATCACATCCTGCATTTTTTGCCATGTGCTTTTAGTATTCTCTAAGGCTTTGTGGGAGTCATGGCTTGGTGATTACTGAGTAGGGGTGAAAGTTGTGCAGGATTTGTTGTCTCCTCTCACCAGTTGCTGCTTCACATTGGTACTTACTTACTGCCGTTGATGACTCAGAAACCCTGTAGGACAGGGTAAAACTGCCCCCATGGGTTTCCCAGGCTGTAACTGTTACACCTCTTGACCGGAGTTGAAAGCCTCAGCTGTCTCCCAGTGCACACTGGTGGGATATGCTTTTGAAGTGACCACAGGAGGAGCTGAATATCTACATGAACAATGATTTGGGTTAAAGGAGTAAGAATTTCCTGCTAATGAAGATTTTTAACTTGGCTCTCTTAGGAAAGTTAGAAAGCCTCAGCTGTCTCCCAGTGCACACTGGTGGGATATGCTTTTGAAGTGACCACAGGAGGAGCTGAATATCTACATGAACAATGATTTGGGTTAAAGGAGTAAGAATTTCCTGCTAATGAAGATTTTTAACTTGGCTCTCTTAGGAAAGTTAGAAGGCGTTCTTTTTAAATATGCGTCCGAGTGGAGTTGACTTGATGTCAGTAGGTTGGATTGGGCGAGGGTTAGGGGGAGCTCCTTAACACCTGACTCCTCGGCCTTCAGAGTGAGGCTGGAGATCTAAGTCTGTGAGGAGATAGAGACCTGGGGACAGTAGTTAAGCAGTCAGCTGCTAACCACAACATTTGAACCCACCACCAGCAGCTCCACACCACGAAGATGGGTCAGTCTGTTTTTATAGAAACGACACTGCTGGGAACCCCATGGGGTTGTTCTATTCTGTCTTACAAGATCGCCCTGAGGCAGAATCAACTGGATGGCATTGAGTTTGGTTTTTGGTTTTGGTCTTAGCATTGCCTTCGGGGTCAAGAGGGAAATATATATTTTTGTTTTAAGTTATTTGCCTCTTTTCTGACAGTTTTATGCTTTTTCCTTTATTTAATATAAGCCTGTGCTATTCCTGAGGCATGGGGTGGGGGGGCAGTGATGGTGGTGAAATGGTTTTAGCATTTTATTACTCTCTTCTCTGGGATTTTACATTCCTTTGTGTTATAATCCTTATCACTCCCGGACCAGTCCAGGGCTGTGGTGTATCTTGTATAGGCCAGGGGATGGTAGCCTTTCTTATTCCCTTGTTTTCCCTCTGTTCTTTCTTCAAAGTTGCTGAAAGGTGAAATACTGCTGCTGCCGGAGCTGTCCTTCATGACTGGGATCCCAGAGAAAATGAAGAAGGACTTCAGAGCCATGAAGGTTGGAAATGCTTTGGTTAAACAGGACATCTTTTCAATCGTGGTTTGCGCTAGGACCAGGCGAGATTCAGCCTCTAAGATGGGCACTGTTACGTGGGCAGGTCTTGTCTTCTCAGTTCCACTTCTCCTTCTGTAAAAGCACAGTACATTTCTTTTCCCACACATAGTGTGAAAAGCCCACGAGAATCGCTTTGAAAGTTGTTAGCTCTGTCTTTTCCAATCACAATGCAAGCTGGTCATATGACCAGAAATGAGATTATTTGTAAGCTGTAAATTATTCCAACATTTTTTGTAAGCCTTCCATTTATTTGAAGGTGAGGAGATAATGTAGCAAAAGGATGGGAATGTATCTTGTGAGACTTTGAGTTTACAGAGAAATATGCTCGTTCTTCAGAGAACGATAGAGAAGCTGAGATGTGTACAGCAGCCCAGGCAGTGCTGAGTCCAGAACCTGCGTGCTTAACCTCCACACTCCGCGGCTCCCTAGGCTCTCTGCACTGAGCTACTCTCTGCTGCCTCCTGGTGCTCATTCTATTCATGTATCGCTCAGGTGTCACATTTTGTTTAATAAGGAGCTTGAGGTGAAGTTCTTCTCAATTTACCATTGGATACTTCTGTTCTGAACAAGGCCCCTTCCTTATAACTCCCAGTTATCTAATGACTTAATGACCACAGAGCTAGTCTTATAGCCCCATAGGCTCACTGCTCCTGACAGTTCATTAGGCCAAGAAGAATAAATCAAGAATTCACTTAAATGTTACATAATCGCCATACATAGCTGTTAGAAATTCTTTCAAAATAAGTAAATCAATTGCCTTACAGTAGGCCCAACACTATGACAAGTTCTAGGCAAACAAAGGTGTCATGATGGCATCGAATGGCTAATAGAGCTGCAGAAAGTATAAAACGAGGTGGTTTTTCACTTACTTGTATTTGCCTGGATGCCTGGGTCATGACGTTTATTTTTTATTTTCTGTTTTTGCTTAAATATTGAGGTGTAGTCAAATCCTTTTTGTTCCTGTCTGATTTGTCTTTTCAGAATTTTAAATTGAGAACATGTCTTGGAAAAGATGAGATGTGTGGATGTCATGAGAGAGAATAACATTTAAAATGTTTGCTTTCTCCCTCATTCACCTTTATGGGAAATTTTTACTAAATTTCATGGAGAGATTTCCAACTCGATTTCAACAACGAGGTTTCTTGTAGAGACATTTTAGGGGGAATTGATTGATTTAAGTTCATATTAGATAAAACAGTACTTAGGATTTAACTTCATTTACATTTTATTTAGGATTTGACCCAGCAGATCAACCTGAGCCCTAAACAGCACCATAAAGCTTTGCAGTGCTTGTTGCAGAGAATTTCAAACAGTGAGACAGCCAACAATGAAATGGCACGTTGGGGTCTCTGTCTTCAGAAGGATGTACATAAGGTAAACTCGAAGGAGGTGTGGTGGGGATAGGAAGAGCATGAAATACAGATTTAAGAGCATTGTGAGGCTGAGTGATAACTACTCTGCCATTATTTTGGAGTTTTTCCCCACCCCAAACATGACCCTTGCATTTACTTACTTGCTAGTCTGGCAGCTTTTCTCCCTGTAGAACCCCCTAGGGATCTAAGCTATTGACTTTCTAGTCAAGGAGATATCAAAAGGAGTATTATTTTGCTTGTTTGTTTTAGGAGTATTTTTTTTACTTAATATTTTATTTGAACACTCATTAAAATTTGTCATTGCATTAATTTTCATCAACAAAGTATTTCATTTTAACATTCATTTAACATTCATTAAAAATAACACTGTTTAATGTTGCATGTACCATATATACTTGAGTATCAGCCGACCCGAATATCAGCTGAAGCACCCAATTTTACCACAGCATCTGCATTGAACATGTGCTGAAAAACTCGGCTTATACCGTACCTTTTACGGTACCTTTTAATCTTGCCTTTAAAAATATTTTTAAGAACTTTATTTCTTTTTCTTTCTCAATTAATATTGTCCTTCCTTGGCTATTACAGTTGTCATTTTTTCTGTTGGCGTAAGTGGATTAGGAGAGTCTCGGACTCTACAATCTAATTTTTTTTTGCCCCAAAATTTTGCCTCACCATCTTTGTTTTATTTTGTGCAGCCACGGCCCATAGTAGAGATAATATAGGGTGATAATTACATCTTTGAGGTTTTTTGGTTTTGAATTCTAGCTTTACCATTGGCCATCTTGGTAGCTTTGAGTGGCTTATTTAGCGTCTCTGAGCCACTGTTTTCTTGTCTATAGAATGAAGATCATGACTGAGTTTTAAAAGTTAGATGAGAAAACTTTAACATGAGATCTGGAATATAGCAAGTGCTCAGTCAATAATGTTACCTATTGTTATTTTGTACCTTTCTTTTGAGAGTTTACCACAACAATGAATTCTACTCTCCCTTTAGTTCACTTACATTTCAGATTCATTCCTTGTTAAAAATGTTACTTTTCTCTTGATTGTTAAAGTAATGTAAAGAAAAGGAAATTATAAACAAGGAAATTTTGGAAATTTTAGAAAATGTGAAGTAGGAAATAATAATTGCATTATCTAAAGATCGTATCCCATGTACACTGATACAGATAAGAACTGGAAACACAGGGAATCAGGACAGATAAACCCCTAAGGACCAATAATGAGAGTAGCGATACCAGGAGGGTAAAGGGAAGGTGGGGTAGAAAGGGGGAACCAGTCACAATGCTCTACATATAACTCCCTCCATGGGGGACAGACAACAGAAAAGTGGGTGAAGGGAGACATCGAACAGTGTAAGACATGAAAAAAAAATTGTATGAATTATCAAGGGTTCATAAGGGGGAGGAGTGTGGGGAGGGAGGGGGGAAAATGAGGAGCTGATATACCAAGGGCTCAAGTAGAAAGAAAATGTTTTGAAAATGATTATGGCAACATATGTACAAATGTGCTTAACACAATGGATACATGTATGGATTGTGATAATAGTTGTACGAGCCCCCAATATAATGATTAAAAAAAAAAAAAGATCGTGTCCCAGTAATTTGTTTGAGACACATAGAAAAGATAATATTTTCCGTGTATTTATTTTTCCTAAGATGATGTCCTATGAGAATAAATTTCTTACAAAACTTTCATTATACTATGTATGTAGTATTACATCTTTTTCTACTTTATTTTATCATGAATGTATAGGAAGTATAAGCCGAAGAAGAAAAATGTCTACCCATAATCTGGCTACATCAGAATAACCACTGTTCACATTTTGAATTATATTTTCCAGTGTTTTTCATTTTTAATTTTTGGTACACAAACACACACACAAACACACACACAAACACACATTGTATGTATTCATGTGGTTTCCTTCCCCTCCCTCCCCACAATACGTTTTAATGTTTTCCTTATGCCACTTAATTTTTTTTGAAGTATGTTTAATGATTGATGATGTTTCACTTTACTAAGTTTCCTAGCCGTACATAATTAAATTGAATTTACTGTTTTTCTAATATAGTGATGTAACGAGCATCCTTGTAACTAAATCTATGTGTATATCGTTGTCTATTTACTTTGGTTTATGTAAAATTATCAAGTTAGGATATTGATAGTTTTTATTGCTTTTATTATATATTGCCACATTCCCCTTCAGAAAGAGTCAATAATTGTTTTGAGGAGAAGATGAGTCTGCTTTTTTCCACACTTGCTAGTATGAGTTTTGTTATTAACAAAATATTTTTTAAATTATTTAGATTTTTTATTATAGATAATTGTTACCCCCCCAAAAAAGAAAAGCAAAACAAGCAGTAGAGATCGTAAAGATAGAACCTTTATAATTATATGTCTCCCCAAAGATAATCACTGCCAAGGTTGAGCTCATTCAATTTTTATGATATATGCATTATTTAATTTTGCAATGATGGGAGCATATTAAATGTAGGGAGAAAATGATTTGAACAATAGTAAAATAGTCCATTATGTAGATGTATCATCTATTTAGTTATTTTGTTGGATATTAAGATCAAATCAATTTATTCATATTTATTGTTCTTTACCTAAATTGTTTTCATTATTTTTTTGACATTTTCCTTTCAATTTTTTTCTTGTAGAAAGTATATTAGTAGTCTTGTGTTTAGTCTCTCTAAGAAAATCTGCCTTTTATTTCTTCTTTCATTTGTTTTTCCCTTAAAATATTTTTCAAAGATTATTTTCCTGTTGACTTTGAAATCATAATTGTTTTACATTCGTTCACTGTTTCAGAGAGACAATGTTTTCTAATTCTCATCTTGTGAAATCCTTGTAAACTTGAATAATGAAAGAGCAATGCCTATCATAATTTTACTTGTGTTATGTTCAGGTTCTTAATGCCAGACTCTCACTGTTGGCAGTTGATGCTTTCTGCCATTCTCAAAAATTATAGCAGGCAGAAAGAAAAAACTTGTAGCAGAGACAAACCTATATGATGGAGCTGACAAGCCCTCAGGGAAGTTACTGTCAGTGTACTTCTAATTAATGTTTATAGATAGCTCCTGTCATCGGTTTTGGTTTTCTGTTTAGATTGAAGGCCGCATTCTACCAATGGAAAGAATTAACTTGAGAAGTACTTCATTTACCACATCTCAGGAACTCAACTGGGTTAAGGAAATAACCAGAGACCTTTCCATTTTAACTGTAAGTGCATTTTTCATTATAAATATTGGACCAGTCTTAAAGCGTGAACATTAGGAAGCAGAAATGATAGTGTCCTCTTTCTGAAAGACAGTGAAAACAGCTCCTTGAAGCAAAGGGATCCTTCACCCACAGCAAGTGGATGAGTTGTTGGAGATAAATAAGCCCTTGGCCTGACGCAGTAGCTTTCTTTTTCCTTCTCCCACCTCTCTTTCTCCCCCTCGTGGCTTCCTGGAGCATGTTTTTCCAGACAGTATCGGACCAAGTCAACTAATGTCTTAGTTACAGTATTTCCATCAATGAACAAAATGGTATATAATTATTTTAACATGTTTTTTGTTAACCTGGTTTTTATGGTCCTATATAAAGTAGACATAGCTGTATTCAAAACTTTTTATTAGAATATAATACATATAGAAAAAAGTACACTTAAAAATGCATAGCATAAAGAATTTTCACAAATTAAACAGACCTGTGTAATCAGTGCAAAAGATAAGACACAGTGTTACCAGCACTCCAGAATGCCCTTCCGTGCTCCCAGTCACGCCACCCTTCATCCCACACATAGCAAGGATGACACTTAGATTCGTCTGAACTGTGTTTGCATTTCATATTTAAATAGAATCATGGAGTCTGAGGCGGGCCATCAAAAAGTTCATGGGAAAATGGAATTAAAAGATAGAGTCTATTAACTTTTTGAAGCCCCTTTGTATACATTTATACATTCTTTTATGTCTGGCTTCTTTCTACCTTGTGCTGGTGAGTTTCAGCCATGTTTTCAGATATGACTGTAGATCTTCCATTCTCATTACTGTATAGTACTTTATAGTAAGAAAGCATGAGAGCTTATTAATCACACACATACGTATTAGTAATATGGATTGGATAAGATAGGACTTGAGAGAGTGAAATAGTAACTTATTGTCAAGAATAAAAACCCCTGACTGAGTTGGAATGTTTACGTTGTGTGACATGCTGAAATGTCCTGTGGTTGTTCCTAGATCCCCATTCATTTCTGGGCACTGTTTTACCCAAAGAGAGCAGCAGATCATGCCCGAGAGCTGGTTAACACACTGGAGAAGGTAGCTGGCCCTATTGGCATTCAAATGAACCCACCAGCCTGGGTTGAAGTCAAGGATGACCGGGTGGAGACCTACATCAGAACAATTCAGTCCCTGTTGGGAGCTGAGGTAACAAGTTGATTTTGAGTAAATTTTTAGAAAGCCTGTTCTATAATACTTGAACACTTGCTTTTAAATTATCTTGGTTTAATCTGTCAGTCTGATGGGAATGATGTTCAGGTATCTATATCTTACTCATAAAATATTGAATGGAAAATGTATCTTTTTCCCGTTGGTTATTTTTGCTTCTTTCATTTAAGTTGGCACTCACACTTATTTTAGTCTTCTTTTCCGCATGTATTAGCTAGAGAGTAGCTGACGGGGCTTTGCTTTGTTATCTATAGAACATGCTGTGCTCAGGAAGCAGCTCCTTGCTCCAAGTTCTGAGCTGTCACAGTCTGGTCTGGCTCAAGATTCAAATTGTTCTGGTGATGAAGTTGGCAGATGGCCTATCAACTTGGTCTGACCACCAATCAGAAACACGGACTAAGCAGGTCACAGCACTCACAGCTCAGTAGTTCAGGTCTTTCAGTTCTATTCTGTTTATAGCTGAGATAGAGGAACAAGATTATGAGGGGAATAAAATAAAGAGGTAAAGACTTTGGAAACAATGCATTTTGTCCTTGAGTTAGAGAGTTGCTTTGGTTTTGGTAAGAGCAACAGTAGAGTTAGATTATGTTGGCACCATTTGCTTTCTCACTTTGAACCATTACTCTTAGGGTACAGCATTGTGGCTGCACACTTAGGCTTCTTTTGCACACCTTTTTTTCACTTTAACTCCTGACCTCCATGCCTATCACAGTCAATCCAGGCCTCCCCCTTAAGCCTCATCCTTGGTAAACTCTGCTCTGCATACCAGAGACTACCCAGTTTAGTTTGAGAAATCCTTCATTTCATATCGTGTGTTCTCTTTATGAGCACAAACAGCCAGCAAATGTCTTTTTCTTTTTTTAAATCATTTTATTGGAGACTCATACAACTCTTGTCACAATCCATACATAAATCAGTTGTGTAAAGCACATTTGTACATGTGCTTTATCATCATTCTCATTCTCAAAACATTTGCTCTCCACTTAAGCCCCTGGCATCAGTTCCTCATTTTTTCCCCCCTCCCTCCCCACTCCCTCCTTCCTCAAGAACCCTTGGTAATTTGTAAATTATTATTTTGTCATATCTTACACTGTCCGATGTCTCCCTTCGCCCTCTTTTCTGTTGTCCGTCCCTCAGGGAGGAGTTTATATGTAGATCCCTGTAATCGGTTCCCCCTTTTACCCCATCTTCCCTCCACCCTCCCGGTATCGCCACTCTCACCACTGGTCCTGAAGGGATCATCCATCCTGGATTCCCTGTGTTTCCAGTTCCTAGCTGTACCAGATTATACATCCTCTGGTCTAGCCAGATTTATAAGGTAGAATTGGGATCATGATAGTGGGGGTGGGGGGTGGGAGAGAAACATTTAGGAACTAAAGGAAAGTTGTATGTTTCATCATTGCCACACTGTACCCTGACTGGCTCGTCTTGTCCCTGTGACCCTTCCGTATGGAGATGTCCAGTCACCTACAGATGGGCTTTGGGTCCCCACTCTGCTCTCCCCTCATTCAAAATGATGTGATTTTTTTTTGTTCTTTGATGCCTGATACCTCATCCCTCTGACACCTCATGATCACACAGGCTGGTGTGCTTCTTCCATGTGGGCTTTGTTGCTTCTGAGCTAGATGGCCGCTTGTTTACCTTCAAGCCTTTAAAACCCCAGACGCTATATCTTTTAATAGCTGGGCTCCATCAGCTTTCTTCACCACATTTGCTTATGCACCCATTTATCTTCAGCGATTGTGTCGGGAAGGTGAGCCTCATGGAATGCCAGTTTAATAGAACAAAGTATTCTTGCATTGTGGGAGTACTTGAGTGGAGGCCCAATGTCTGTCTGCTACCTTAATACTAAACCTATAAATATATGCACATAGATCTATTTCCCCATCCTCATATATAAATATATTTACATATGTACATGCCTTTATTTAGACCTCTATAAATGCCCTATGTCTCCTAGCTCTTTCCTCTATTTCCTTTGACTTTCCTCTTGTCCCACTATGATGCTCAGCCTTCATTTGGGTTTCAGTAATTCCTCTCGTTACATTACCCTTGTTCATGCCCTGCCAGACCTCCTACATACACTCTCCTCACCACCAATTTGGATCACTTGTTGTTTCCTTGTCCCTGGGTTTGTTAACACCCCTACCTTTCCCCCCACCTCTCCCTCTCCCATGTCCCCCGGGAACTGTCAGTCCATTGTTTTCTCCTCCAGATTGTTCATCCAGCCTATCTTCTTTAGACAGACCTGCGGAGATAATAACATGCCCCAAAACAAGACAGAGCAAAACCAAGCAACAAAATAAAACAAAACAACAACAGGCCAATGACAAAAAACAAAACAAAACAACAAGAAAGAAAAGTTTGTAGTTAGTTCAAGGACTGTTTGTTGGCCTTTAGGAGTGTTTTCCTGTCGAGTCTGATGGGGTGCCAAGCCCTGGCCCCAAGGTCTATTTTTGGTATTCCCTGGGGACTTCGTTGCTCTGTGCCCCTTGCTATTCTGTTGCACGCCCTTAGTGTTTTGCCTCTGTGTGGTGGGATCAGATCGGGTGCAATTCCTATACTGTGTCTACAGTGTTGTCCCTGTAGGGCTATGGGTCAGTGAGGGATGTCATGTCTCATAGTGGGGCTGGCCATATGGTCTCTGTGGATTCGCTGTTCTGAGCGGGAATATCTTCCTCAAGGGTTGGTGGGCCAGGATGTGCTCCACTCTCTGTTCCTCCCCCTTCATTTGCTCCCGTGTGCTCTGATGAGACACGTCCCTCTCCCTGAGCTGCAGCTTCAGTTTTGTCCTCTGAAATAAATTCTTTTGGGGGGAGGGGCAGGTGTCCACGTGGTTGGAATTGGGGCCGACCCCGCAGATCTCTCCACTGGTTCCCTACTTCATGCTGGCATGTTGCATTCACATCTTGGAGCACCGGGTTGAAGTAGCCAGCAATTTTCATGTGGCATGAACATGAGCTTCACTTGTCATATTTACATAATTTATATTGGTCTTGCTTCCTTTCTCTCACTCTTGGAATGTTCCCTTTGTCAGGGGCCATAAGCTCATCCGTTCATATGGGCCAGAGAACTAACAAAGGAAAGAAGCGGGTGGACTACGAGAGGAGTACAGTAAGCTAAGGGGTAGTCTCTATGACTTTTTTATAATGTAGGGATCAAGCCCAGTATTGCCAAACTGATTTTGCATTTAGTTTTTCAATAGAAACCCAAAGTATAGATTGGCATATATCCATCTCCCTATTTTTAGATGTTGAATTAATAACAGTTATCCCTCAAGTATAATGGCAAGTTATGACATTTCCAGATAAGAAATTGAAGGCATTTGTATTAATTAGACCAGCTTTACAAGAAATACTGAAGGAAATTCTCCAGACAGATAAGCTGCAACAACCTGATAGTAACATTAAGTCACAACACCCTAGATACAGAAGTATCCAAGGTAAAACAAACCTACAAAACTAAAAATGAACCCGAGGTAACACTCTGTAGCAATGACAGTTACCGCAGTGTAAGTGGAGGGGCAGCGGACAAGAGGAAAGATTAGAGATGGCTTGACAACAGTGGCTGAGACAATGGACTAGGATCTGAGAACACTTCTGAGCGTGGGGCAGGAGCAGGCAGTGCGTCTTCGTTCTGTTGTACGTGGGGTCCCTATGAGTCAGAGCTACCTCTTAACAACAGCAACAAATAAAACACGAAAAAATGCAATCTGATCACCATCTAGTTGATTCCAACTTGGTGACTGTGTGTTACAGAATCTGGTGTTTTTATCTGTCATTTTTACTGAAACAGATGGTGCCACTGGGTGGGTGGGTTTGAATCACCCACCTTAAATTAGCCAACCGAACTCCAAATTCTGGGCCATTGGGTCAATTCCAACTCATAGTAACCCTATCAGACTGCATAGAAGTACCTCAGTGGGGTTCCCAAGCCTGTAACTACTGGAAAGCCTCAGCTTTCTCCTCCGAGTTGCTGGGGGTTCCCCTCACATAACTACTACACTGTTAGGGCTGTTTGTTTAGATTAGTAGCTGAGCACAAACCCTTGGCAGCAGCCAGAGGCCTAAACAAAGCCTATGTGTTCTGTGTATACATCCTATTGTCTACATGGCTTTGGAAGTTCTTGGCTGTGATTTTTGGAATATGTGTCCTTGAAGAAATCTTGTATGTTGATGTTAGGTACTGTTAAGTTGGTTCTGACTTATAGTAACCGCATGTATAGCAGAATGAAATACTGCCCAGTCCTGCACCGTCCTTACAATTGTAATTATGCTTGATCCCCTTGTTGGAGGCACAATGTCCATCTTGTTGACAGTCTTCCTCTTTTTTGCTGACTTTTTACTCTATCAAGCATGATGTCCTTTTCTTGATACACGAGACAAACTCTTAACCTAATCTTGAGCTGGAGTAGTGTACCATTGATTGCCCTTTCTAGCATAAAGGGCTGGCAACTTTAGCCCACTTAAATGCTACTTTTCCTTGTGCAGATTTTGTAAGGGCCACTGCTTTCAATAATGGATCTCTTAAAACTGAGACAGAAGATAGCGATAAGCTGCTGGCAGTATTCTCTCTCTAACCAGAGAGAGTTAGTTTAACAAAATAGAAATCCATTCTTTTACAGTTTTAGAGGCTAGAAGTCCGAAGTCAGAGCATCGGCTCTACAGTCAACTTTTGTCTGTGTCAGCTCTGGAGGAAGGTCTGTGTCTCCTTTCAACATCTGTGGGTCCATCAGCCCTCGGAGATTGATTTCTTAGGTGTCTTGGCATAAGTGTTCCCCTGGGTGTAAGAGGTCCGCGTTGCAGGTAGCCTGGGTCCAAAGGACATGCTTCTCTCCCAGCTCATCTTTCTTGGTGGCAGTCAGTTCCCTCTAATCTCTGCTCACTTGTTGACTCTCTTGTATAAAGAGATTGTTTCAAGATACCACCTAATCCTTTAGATTATATCCTATCTCATGAACATAACTTCCTCTAATTCTGCCTCATTAGCATCAAATGACAAATGGAGGCTAACTACAGAATGCCTGATAATCATGGCCTAGCATAGTTGACATATATTCAACCCACGACAGAGTAGCTACTTAGGGAGTTTGGCACTAGCTTTATTCCTTTCTTCATTTGGCTCTGACCTTCTTGTAGTTTTTCATCTCGTATTTGTTACGTGGAAGTTATATGGTATGACGCAGTAAGTTGCTTAGTTAACTAAAGAGAATGGCAAACAAATGCGTAGGGATTAAAAGTGTAAGTAATAAGTAACACATTGCTAAGCTGATCCTTTTCTAGGCCTTGTCTCAAGTTTTCTTACAAGTAAAACTTAGGAGCCTTAGAATTTCAGAGACCATGTCCCTAATGAGATTTTGTTTTCCAGACTGATCCTAAGGATAGCTGAGGAAGTGTCCTAAGGGTGTACAATCCCCTAGGTATCTATATATGATCTAAATTTATTGAGGCCCCTGGAAGGGCCTTCATTCCTTCTCACCATCTACATTGTGCTCTGCTCATAGTAAACAAACTGATGACTTGGCCAAGACCTCATTTGGTGGAAGTAACAAATTACCTACCTGTTTATGCTGAGACATCTGAGCAAAACAAAAAAAAAAAATCCCAATTCAGATCCAAGAAACTTTTTCTTGGTTGGATTGCCCATTTACCTTAAAGGTCTTGTGGCTTTGTATTCTTGCTCAAACTAGAGTCCTGCTTAGCTGCTAACGAAAGGTTGCCAGTTCAAGTCCACTCAAAGGCTCTATGGAAGAGAGACCTGGTGATCTGCTTCTGTAGAGACTATAGCCAAGAAAACCATCTGAACAACTGTGTCCCTTGAGGTCACTGGAGCACAATTCACTCATGGGGCCTAATCACTGGCAGGAGAAAGAGGAGGCTTTCTACTCCTGTAAAGAGTTATACAGTGTTGGGAACCCACGGGACAGAGCTTTTCTGCCCTCTCAGGTTGCTATGAGTTGGAATTGACTCAATGGCAGTGAGTTTGGTTTTTTAACAACAGATTGAAAATCCTCAGAGAATTCCGGAGCCTGACTTAACGTGCTTTATCTCTTAAAGGGGAAGCTACAGCTGGTTGTTTGCATCATTATGGGTACGCGTGATGATCTCTATGGGGCCATTAAAAAGCTGTGTTGTGTGCAGTCTCCAGTGCCCTCGCAGGTAAGTAGAGTTGAGGCATGATATTGAAACTCTGGCTTGGCTTCCCCTGGAGACTTGGGGAAAAAAGAGTATATGTTTCTACATAAGACTAAAGTAATTATTAGAAGCCAGTATGTATGGATTCTTCTAGTTCAAAGTTCGTATTAGAGAGTAAACTGGTGGGTGGCAAGTAGCTATTCATAACTGCTCCCTTAATTTCCCAAATGAGTAGCTTGTTCAGAGATGGAGCCTCCAAGCATCGCATGACTGGATCCTGGGCGTATGAGCTTCGTTTGGAAAGAGGCAAACTGGTTTTCCTATGTAGAGTTTTGGTTTGTTTTTTAAATCTTACTCTGTATGGTATCCTTCTAGAACTTTCTGCTTCTTTGTTACTTTATTTTTTGTTTTGTTTTTCTCTGTGTGTGTGTGTGTGTATATGTATGGAGACACATACAGACACTATCTAGAATCCCTAGAACTGGGACTCTTCTTGCAAAAGCTATTATCCGACAACTCAGGTTTCTTTAATACTTCATGCAATCCTTTCCTTAAGTTCATGCTTTCATTTTCTGAGACACTGATAATGTCTTGCTCTTGGTACTTTGTTTACAGGTCATCAATGTCCGAACAATTGGTCAGCCCACCAGGCTTCGGAGTGTGGCCCAGAAGATTTTACTTCAGATTAACTGTAAATTGGGTGGTGAGCTCTGGGGAGTGGATATTCCTCTGGTGAGTGATGCTGAGCTGTGCCTGTTTAACTCTGCATACAGGACAAGCCTACCTAATTGTTTCCCTTAGTTATCCTCCTTATTCTTAATTTCACTCATCAGTCTAAATGACTTGCTGTATGTATTTGTGTAGTCTGTCATGTTAGAATTTTTTTATATTTTTATTTTTTAATTAAAAGATCATTTTATTGGGGGATCTTATAACTCTTATTACAATCCATACATCAATTGTATCAGGCATATTTGTACATATGTTGCCATCATTCTTTTCTAGACAGTTACTTTCTTTTGAGCCCTTGGTATGAGCTCTACTCCCCATCCTCCCCTCATGACCACTTGAATGACAATAAGATAGATTATAAATAATTATTATTTTCATATCTCACACCAATCGCTGTTTCCTTTCCCCCTTGGTTTCTGTTATTCTTCCCCTTGGAGGGGGTTGCATGGTTACGTGTCGATCATTATGATCGGTTTCCCCTTCCACCCCTCTCCCCCCTTTTCCCCTACCCGTCTGGTATCACTGTTCCCATTCCTCCTCCTGGATTCCATGTGTCATGAGCTCTTATCTCTTATCTACACCTGTGTACATGCTCCAGTCTAGTTTGAAGTGAGAACCAGCACTTGGGTCATGATAGTGGGGGGTGGGGGATGAAGAAGCCTCAAGGAAAGAGAGGAATAATGTGCTTCATCGGTGTTTTACTGCTCCCTGGTTGACTCATTCCTTCCCTGTGACCCCTCTGTGGGGGGATTTCCATTGTCTACAGATTGGCTTTGGGTGTCTGCGCCAACCCCCCTCATTCTCAACAGTATGTCTTTGTTATGGGTCTTCTGATGTCTGTTACCTGGTCCCAATGACACCTCATGATCGTACAGGCTGGTGTGCTGCTTCTATGTGGACTTTTTCCTTCTCTGCTGAATGGCCACTTGTTTAACTTCAAGCCTTTAAGACCCTTTTAATATCTTTTAATATCCCGGCATCATCTGCCTTTTTCACCACATTGCTTATGCACCCATTTTGTCTTCAGCGATTGTACCAGGAGGAGTTTTTACATTTTTTTAAAAGGTTGAAAAATATTTAATGGCATAAAGATAAGGAAATTCAGTGTGCTAAAAAAACCTCATCACCATAGAATCAATTCCAGGTCGTACCAACTCTATAGGACAGAATAGAACTGCCCCTCTGGGTTTTTGAGGCTGTAAATCTTCACAGGAGCAGAGTGCTTCATCTGTCTCTCAGAGTGGTGGTTGGCTCATACTGCTTGACCTCACCATGAGCTGCCCACTGTGCTGCCAGAGCTCAGTTTACAGTGCCCTTAAATAAAGTATGTTGGAATGTAATCATGCTTGTTTATGTATATACTGTTTATGTACTGTCTGACTGCTTCCATACTGTAAGGTAGAAGCCAGCAGGGCCAATAGTCATGGGCCCACACAGCCTCAAACGCATTCCCTCTTCCCCTCTTCCCCTCTAGCTCTCTGACTCCCTTCATGATATTTTTAAAAATGTCTCGTTCCCAGAAATTGCTTGCTTATGTAAAACATAAGGTGAGGGTTATTTTAGCATTCTGATAATAATTAAAAGCGGAGGAGGCTGTACAACTTGTTTTTGTTGTTGTACTTTTCTCACCTAGAAACAACTGATGGTGATTGGGATGGATGTCTACCATGACCCCAGAAGGGGCATGCGCTCCGTGGTGGGCTTTGTTGCAAGCATCAATCTGTAAGTACTGCTGGTGGTTTCTTTTGTGTTGTTACCTCATTTGATGCCAAATCCTACAGTCAGTCAAGCGTTTATCTTTTTGAGGGTAACAGATTATCATATAGAAAGTTCTAATTTCCTCTTATGTCCTGCTATGATACTTCCTTTTGTAAACTATTTAGCAAACTTGTCACATTTGGAGAGGGGCTGTGTCTCCTTTATACATACACGTATTACACACGACATGTGTTGTTGTTACTGTTATGTGCTGTTGGGACCATTTCAACTCATAATGACCTTATAAGACAGGAGAACTGCCCCAGAGGGTTTCTTAGACTGGAATCTTTAAGGGAACAGATTGCCAGGTCTTTGTCCCCATGGAGTGACTGGTGGGTTCTAACTGTTGACCTTTTGGTGAACAGCCAATTGTACCACCAGGGCCCCTTACAAACAAATTGTGTGTGTGTGTGTGTAGACAAATGAAGTATTACTTACATAATATTTTAATATGCTGTTTTATCTACTTAAAAGTTTGTTGAACGATGTAAGATACGGAAAAAATAATCGATAACGTATCAAGGGTTCATGAGGGAAGGTGGGCGGGGGAGGGAGGGGGAGGAAACGGGGAGCTGTTATCAGGGGCTCAGATGGGAAGAGAATGCTTTGAAAACGATGATGGCGGCCTATGTGCAAATGTCCTTGACACTTTGGAGGAATGTATGGATTGTGATAAGAAATGTAATAGCCCCCAATAAAAATATTAAAAAAAAAATTTTGTTGACCTTTTCCCGTTCACTACAAATGAATCTCAATTAATTTGTGTTCGTTACTGTGCATAATTTATTGTATATCATTATTTAACTACCTAGTTCTTTGTGGGTAGCTATATAGATTTAGTTATTTTTCTATTAGAGGTTTTGTGGCAAATATCCATAACTGTACATATATATTTGGCTCTTTGTCTCAGACATGTGTTTTTCACCCACATCAGATTTTGCTACATGGAACATAGGTGTATTCACTCGATATTTGCTGCCAACAACAAACTGATGCATAAAGAAGCCTCTGTGAGCTGATACTCAGACTAGGTCGGCCTTCATCTGCGTGTGCTTGCTCATCTCTCGTTGTGGCTCTCTGTCCTTTCTCTCTGCCTCAGCACCCTCACAAAATGGTACTCCAGAGTGGTGTTCCAGATGCCTCATCAGGAGATTGTGGATAGCCTGAAGCTGTGCCTGGTGGGCTCCTTAAAAAAGTTTTATGAGGTGAGGAAAGCAGAAATTCTGCAGCATCTCAATTTCCTTGCATGCTTTACCCGGAAGTCTAATTTACACAGAAGGGGGTCCCAAATCAAAGGTAAGTCCCTTAAATAGACTTGGGAGTCAGTCATTGCTGAACAAGCAGCCCAGAGTTTCTCCTTTCGGGTCTGTCTTATACAAAACGATTCCAGAAGCGAAATGCTTTCATTTGGTTTGGTAAGTAATAATTATTTCCTAGGCTGTCTACCTGATTCCTGTAGACGTAATCTTGATGCCCTTATCAGGGAAGTTGGGGGTAAATTTCAGCAATTAAAGTAGCTTATAAATTTACTCAGATTTTTATGGCTTATTAGAAGCTGACTCTTTTCATTTTGGTTCAAGACAAATGCCTCCCTGTAAATTATCCCGAGGAGTCCAAAGAATGCTAGCCATGGAGAATTAGCACGTTGCTGTCATTAAGCTGATATCAGGTCTGGAACATTGAATGGCCAAGCAAGGCACTGAATTTTTGTCTTGGCCAATACCTCAAAGGAAACCTTGATAAGTGGCTTGTATTTCATAGGATCTGGGTTAGCCTTTTACACAGAGATTAAATAGCAGGAAATATAATAACTTCATATGATGATCAAAGTCAGTCTCTAGAAATTCATCCTGTTTCTTTTTAGAATTGCATCCCTACAATCTCCTGCAAATAGTTTGATATTGTTCAAGTGTTAAGAGTATGGTTTAAATAGTTTATTTTTTTTCCCTCCTAAAAGGCCCATTTGCTGTGCTACTTTGTTGCCAAGTGCTACTAGACATTCTTCTTTCCTGTTGCCCGTTGTCTCCAAAATTCTAGCTGTCATTTTGAGCCTTTCCCAAAGATAACTTCCATGAAACCTTTCCCGTCCCTTCCTACTTCATCCTTCATCCAGAATGGGTTCTTCATGCTCCGCTGCAGTGGCTCCTTGCTTATAGTTCTCCGTAGTTGTTAAAGTCATTTTCTGTCTTAGATTAGTTATTTGTATCTGTCTCTTCCACTGGGTTGTACATTATTTAAGTGGTTTGGTTATTGATGGCTTTGTAACCAGTTTTCTTCTAACTGAATTGGTAAAGCAACCATTTAGGATGTTTAGTCAGGAATTTAGCCAGGATGTTGTGCAGCTAAGGTTCATTTGCATGTAGCCTTCTTCTTTTTTTTAAAAATCATTTTATTGGGAGCTTGTACAACTCTTATCACAATCCATCCATCCATCCACTGTGTCAAGCACATTTGTACATCTGTTACTATCACATCATTCTTAAAACATTTTCTTTCTACTTGAGCCCTTGGTATCAGTTTCTCATTATTTTTCCCCTCCCTCCCCTCCCCTTGATAATTTATATGTCGATCATTGTGATCGGTTCCCCCTTTCTCCCCCACCTTCCCCTCCCCCTCCTGGTGTCACTACTCTCATTATTGGACCTGAGGGATTTATCTGTCCTGGATTCCCTGTGTTTCTAGCTCTGATCTGTACCAGTGTACATCCTGTGGTCTAGTTGGATTTGTAAGGTAGA